GAGATGCTCCACGCCACGGCTGAATCGACATATACGGCATACCTGGTAAACTGTCGGAGAAATCCAACCGTTAATCCGGCACAGGGTCATAATTTCGGCCACTTCCCATCTAAGAAAATGACATGAGGTTGGGTCTGTGGAGTGCAACACGATCCATACGACATATAGTTGGAAATACCAAGCTAGTAGATTCCAATCAGCACATTACAAAAATCGAAACGGGGAGACGAAAAACTCACCCGGTCAAATTTCCCCTCTTTATGGAGCTCATCGACAGCTTTGAACGTAACCTCCCAAGGGATCGTTCGATCTGGTGCGTGGAGGTAGAACAACTCGAGTTTGTCTGTTCGAAGGGCCGTCAGAGACGCTTGAAGTGTCTTTCTCAAATCTTCTGGTGTATGGCGTGCGTTTGGTTGCGGATAGAGCTTTGTGTGGACCACCAGACCGCGTTGTTGCCATCCAATCTACAGATAAATTAAACCTTTTATCGTTGTCACATTCTGGACAGGAAACACTTACGTCTCCAAGCAATCTTTCGGACGTGCCGTTGGTGTATACGCGGGCAGTATCGACCTAAATGCCAAATGGGTCGATCAAGTAGTGCACATTATTGAGGTATCAGGACGTACTTTGGTATGTCCATGTTTCTGGAACACGTCCAAGATCTCTTTGATGTCCTCTACCGAATGCGTACGCGCAGATTCAGAGTCTTTATCTCCAAACGTCATAGCTCCCTGTTCCAATCCAATGACCCATTTCAGATAAGTAATGACACAAACTGGAGTGGGTGAAAGAGGACGTACAAAGACGACGGAGAGTTCCGATGTTGGTTCCATCATACGTATGGTATTATTTGCTCTGGTTTTTGGTGTGCTAATAGTCAGATCGATGACGACGATGACGATGAGGGCAAAAAGGAGGAAGAGAAGCTCGAAATAGGACCTATTCCTTTGCCACCTTCGGTCATTGAAGCATTCGTTGGCTAATCGGAGAAACTATCTGTGCGCAATGGACGGCAAGCAATATGACTGGTTGTGCCGTGACTAATTAGTTATGACTCTCCCTTGGGTAAAAAGAATGGCTGTTTCATTAGCTGCGTGTGTCGAAGTGGTTGGGAATAACCAAGGCCCAATTAAAGTTTTATGGAATTTACCGGAGCAATAAGTTAATAATAAATATATAATATTTAATCTAGAACATTGCTGATCTCAGGCCATTTAGCCAAGCGGTTAAGGCGATTGATTAGAAATCAATTGGGGTTTCCCCGCGTAGGTTCGAATCCTGCAGTGGTCGCATCCTTTTTTT